GCCCATAGCTCACGAAGCTGCTCCTCCATGGGAGTTGATGGGTCACGATGTTCTTGAACCGGGAGGATAGTTGACTGTAATTGAAGAAGTTCCTCCAAAGACAACCCATCTCCCAGCTCTCGCAGTCTTCGCCGGTCGACTTTTCCCGTGGCCCCCACCGGTATGTCTTCGACTGGGAGATAGATGCTGGGGAGCATAAATGCTGGCAATACACCATCTAGCTCATGCACAAGATCATTCATCGCGATCTTGACTGTCTCGGGGTCGTTATTCTTATTCTGCACAAAGAGCGCAAGCAGTGCAGTATCGCTTCCCTGGGGAGTCACGATATCCGCAATTATTGTCAGTGCGTCGTTCAGACAAGCACGCGCATGGTGCTCCACATCGCCAATTTCAATCCGTTGGCCTCTGATCTTCAATTGCGAGACATCCTTCCGCCCTAGGAAGAGAATACCTCTATCAGAGCGGGTCTTGACTAAGTCCCCGGTCCTGTATAGGCGGCCTTGCCGCCCTGGGATACTAGGGCTCCCAGCCAAAAGCCATGGTGGGTTATCGATGAACGCTTCCTCGGTCTTTTCTTGATTAGACAAGTACCCTTGCCCAACCATGGGTCCCTCCAGGTACAGCTCTCCCGGAGTTCCAGGAGGAACAAGCTGGCTGCTATCGTTGGGGTTGACAATCCAGAGACAGAATCCTGTGCCTCTCCCAATATCTGGCCGGCCTTCCTCGTAGGGATTGAGCCGCGAGAAGGTACATTTCCAGGTACACTCAGTGGGACCGTATGTATTGAGTAAACGAACACGGCCAGCCCATTGAGTCACATTTTCTCGATACGGCATCTCTCCACTCAAAAGTATAGTTTGGAGGGTCGGTGGGGCCGAACAAATTGTTCGCAAAACAGTAGGAGTGACATTGATCAGGGTAGCCGCAAATGCCGTGATAGCGGCTGAGAGATTATTCACCATATCTTGCTCGTTGGCGACGCATAGACAGCCGCCTACGCACAGCGTATGAAGAACATTACTCCAAGCCACATCAAAGGAGTAAGGTGCAAAGTCGAAGACGCGCGACTCTTGGTGGAAGCCAAGAGCTTTGCCCTGATGATGTACAGCACTTCTCACGTTGGCGTGGCTAATACATGCTCCTTTGGGCTCGCTAGTAGTTCCACTGGTTTGTCGCACTGAAGTTAGCGCTCTTATTCCCCTGGAGAATTGGGTCATGGGTCTCTTACGAGGTAAAGGATATATAGACTATGTCGTTTGGTGATACCGCAGGTAAATCAAGCGTCTGCTGTTTTATGGTACTCACAATCTCCAGCAGACTATCATCGAGCTGAAGGATGGGTGAATCGCACAAGAGAGATACTCTCTTTTGAGTCGCTGCGCAACAAATCATTGCTTTTGGCTGCGCATGCTTAATAATAGATCGAAGTCTTGCGTCTGGATGAATTGAATCAAGAGCAATGGCCGCGCACCCGGCTTTGATGACACCCAACATGGCGACACATGTCCATCGTGACTTGGGGAAAAGAAGAGTGACTGGGGATCTTGGTGGGATGCCCACTTCGCAGAGATAATGAGCAACATAGTCACTCAAGGTGGATAGTTGAGCATAGGTAAGATCCCCATCCCACGCGCAAACAGCGAGGGCTTCTGGTTGTTTTTGCGCCACTTCGGCGATCAAGTCATGAACGCAGCCTGTGATAGACTCTGGGACAACCGTATTACTGGCCCAGATGTCATCAAGTTCTTGCGGCGAGGGTGATGCAACACCTAGTGCATCCGGCGTTGGCAGCTGAGTACCCTCGTTCGTCTTTATTGTGATCATTCTAATTTGATATGAAGATGATTTCAGTTACACAATTGTAGGGGAAGGTTATAATCGGATCTTAATATGAATTCTCACAACATTTGGTCTATCGGTATCAGCGAGGGAGCCTTGAACGGGCCAGGAATCATCTCCACTTTGTGGATCTCTATTTGACAGTGCGCACTCGGCAATGCGTGCATATGCAAGATCAGGTTAGAGCCATGCGGTAAGAAACGACTAAGTACACCGCTGTTGTGTCATGTGTTGCAGACCTGTCATTGATCAGAATGGTCCCGACGCCTTGAGGGCCCGCTTCAGCGCAGATGCACCACTATGATTCACGTACTGGACAATATATCTGGTGTACCACAAGATATGCTCACCATTACTTCCACGTTTTTTCAGGGCACTTTCAATCTCCAATCCTACATTGAAAAGGCATTTCCTGCAACATACGTTGCTAGCATCTACTAGAAGAAGCCTAGCCATTGGTTCGAGTATTTACACGTTGGAAAACTTCCACTACATACCTTACTTTATTATATCCCTACCAGTCATGCTCGGGCAACTTGACTTTTCCAGATTTCACCGTGGAAGCACCGACGAGCGAAATCAATTCTGCCACGAGTTGATTTCCGGGTTAAGCAAGTCAGGCTGGGTACGGCTAGTCAATCATGGCGTCCCTCCAGAGAGCATCGACGGGGCATTTGAAATGGTGCGAACATTCTCTCAACGTCTGTCCGAAGCTCCTCTCACTCATCGTCTCCCCAGAGTCACAAATTCTTCGATCTCCCAATGGAGCAGAAGCTGAAGTCGCCTCATCCTCCTACGGCTCATCCCCATCGAGGCTTCAGCCCTGTTGGCCTGGAGAACATATCAACTGTGTCTAATTATCGCTCTTCGGCTACGCAGCCCCTACTCAGAGATATGAAGGTACAAATATTGAATACATACTTTTGACGAGCTCGGCTTATTTACGTTTTACATATCTAACCAGTCCATTAGGAGTCGTATGACATTGGATCGGAACAAGATCCGCTATACTCTAATATTTGGCCCCCGGCAGGAGTCCACGATAACTTTCAAACGACAATGAGCTCATTCTTTGCTGTCTGTTACGATGCCCAATTGGTCATTCTGGACGCTATTTCGATTGGCTTGGGGTTGCCCATGCACTCTCTACGTGACTTGCATGCCGCACAGACTAACGAGCTGCGGCTTACCCACTACCCAGAAGTGGATCGGGCTGATTTTGCTAATGCCACCCGCATAGCGGCGCATACGGATTTCGGCACTATTACTCTATTGTTTCAAGACAATGTCGGAGGTCTGGGTAAGCAATACCACTTTCCAAATTTGGAAGGTGTCATCTCTCTATACCAGGATTGAGCTAACGGAATCCTAGAGATGGAACAGCCCCCTGGGAGCGGAGTCTTTGTTCCGGCTGACAGTGCTGGCCCCCATGAGTGTATTGTCAATGTAGGTGATTGTCTCCAAATGTGGACAGGGCTGCATAGTGCCAGACACCGGGTGCATCTGGCAAAAAGTGAAAACGAGTGTAATATGGTCCCGGAACGCTTCTCAATTGCATATTTCGCAAAGCCTGATCGTGCAGCGCTTCTCCGTCCACTGCTGGATTCATTAATGGACGACAGCAAACCGGTGCAAAAGTTCTTGACAGCCAATGAGTTCCAGCACATGCGAATTGAGGGCACGTACGCCTGATAGCTCAGTTGTATGCGCACGTTCTCCTCGGCCCATGAGCAATATTCAACGTTTCAATACACGTGGTGTGATTTAACTTGTTAGTTATCGCCTCTCTACTTTGCAGTTTGATCTGTTAATCCCGATCTCAATATACTCCACATAATGTACGTGCGACCAATCTCGATCGGTTGACGCGATAGTTACGCTGTAACATTGCACTTTTATCACAGAGAGTAAGCTGAAGGAGCTGCCCAGGAAGTTTCCTGCAGGATTCTTGGCGACCCCGACGGGACTCCGGCCGGTGCTTACTTGGCTGCTCCACCCTTCCCCCTCCCCCTCCCACCTGTCCCCACCATATGCAACGGGTGTCCATATGCAGGGAATGTAGGGAATACAGCGAATGCAGAAAACATGGAATACAGGGAATACAGGAAATGCAGGGAGTTCAAGGAATGCAAGCAATCAAGGAAATTCACATTACGAGTTTACGAGCTCACAGAGACAGAAATGACAGACCTGTTTCGAAGTAATCACAATGGACGGGATTAGGTTAACCATGTAGTTTCAGCCAGACCTACTTGATGAATACCCACCTGAAAAACTACCTTAGCAGTTGATCCTTCGTCCCACTCCATCTATGACATCGACTGGCTAGCAATTTGCTTCAGGATTTACTATTTTGCTTGGCTGGGGCCATTTTCTTTCTAGTGCAACGAGTGTACTTTCATTATCGGGATTTCCAGGACCGAACCTGGTTGCTGCCTCCAGCTTCCATCCTTTTTACGCCATTTGGACAGGTAGATATAACTCTTATCAAGTGGGCTTTCCATTCTCAACAAGGAAACCTACACGCGACCCTCAGTAGATTGGGGTACCTGGGTCAAGGAAGTGTCCGGTTACGAACGGGAAATGTTGAACTAGGGATTGACCGGGTTCAGATATTGTTCTTTCGATGTATACGTACCAATGAGTGTGTGGGAGAGCTTGGGCTTCTTAGACCACAAATCCAATGTGCGCAATACTACATACTAATTCTGCCCATGCACGTTCCCCGCCAGTTATAACCCTTCCTATCTGGGCATACAGGCTGCCTATGTCCAAGCCAATTAACCAGTGCCGAAGATTTACGATGCCCTTGATGAACTCGGGTGATTCTGGATCTTCACGCGAGATGATCTTTCAATACATATCCTTCTGTATGTCTATCGCCATAGAGTCCCCAGGCGAAATGATATCCTACATCCCATCACCATTAATTGTCCGAGAGCTATCGGCAATAGTCTATGTATAAACCGCACTAGGAACGGCTAAGCACCGGTTCCTTGTAATTGATAGGAATGCAACACTGCCCCGAAGTTACCCAACGTGGCCTTTTGTTTACATACTCCGTAAAGCAGAGAACATTGTTTTTGTACCCACCCTTTACCTAATTTTCTATTTTGTAGCTCAGTTGCACTGGTCTGTGTTTCTCTTTGGGCCTCGTCATGCAGTTCGAGGTTCCGTATCGTGAAGCGTACTCAGGACCATCGATACGGGTTGCTCTATGTCATAATCCTCCAAAGCGCCCAGATGACCATTCATTTGAATGCCCTTGTTGTCCAAACTGTTCAATATGTGGTACTGGTAATCCTGCAGTGACTCGGGCCGAGAATATTAAGAATGTCCCTTCCATTCGCACGAGCTACCGAGAAGAAAGCTCAGATCCTCCCTTGGGCAAAAACACCAAAGCATGCATTATCGGGGCCGGGATTGCAGGTCTGTATCTTGCACTAATTTTGCAAGATTTGGAGATTCCAAACCTTTCCTGGGATATCCTCGAGGCCAATCGGAATCGCATTGGCGGCCGCATTTATACCCATCGCTTCTCTGAAGCGCACAATGACTACTATGACGTGGGGGCAATGCGCTTTCCGGATATTCCTATCATGTCTCGAGTCTTTGATCTTTTTCGACGAATGCAAGTGCCACTGAGGGAATTTGAGATGCGAGAAAGAAGCACGAACACGAGGTGCAGTGATATCTCTAAGACCAAAGATAGCCCATCAGCCAATCTCGTCAGTCAATGCTTCGACCCTTATAAAAAGGTCATGCAAAAGGATTTTGTGCGGGGGTTCCAACTCCTGATGCAATCCGATGCAATGAGCACCCGCGAATACCTTCGAGGCAACCACAAGTCAGACTTCATGACAATCCAGTCTGCCGAAAGCGACACAACCGGCACAGGCACGTTTGATCAAGCCTTTTCAGAAAGTGTCATTGACTCTTTCGACCTTGATCAATCCACAACAGGGCCTGAGGACAGTGACCCAGTAAAATGGTATTCTGTGGATGGCGGCTCTTCCGTGGTGATTGAGCGAATGTGCCATCAAATAAACAAAAGTAGCACAATTGAGCTTGGGAAACAAGTTCGCCGAATTGCCATGGATTGTGGTGCCGATCTATCTGTGTCATGTGCGGGCGAGAAAGATGCTCGCGATGGATACGCAACGGTGTTCAGCACTACACCATTAGCATGTCTGCAGCGCATCGACACTAGCTCACTCCATCTTGATCCTATTCAAGAAGAGGCTATCCGGTGTTTGCGGTATGAAGACTCTACTAAGGTAGGCATCAAGTTTGCGTATCCGTGGTGGATTGTAGACTGTGGGATTCGAGGGGGTGGTAGTGTCTCGTCGACTCTCTCCTCAAGGACCTGCGTCTACCCGTCAAATATTGCCGAACAGGACTGGGACAAGCCAGCCGTGCTATTGGCTTCGTACACTTGGGGCCAAGATGCCTCTCGCATGGGGGCTCTGATCAGCCCGCCCCCCACCAGCTCGGATGTGGGTGGGGATGAGGGGGATGACCTGCTGGATCTTGTCCTCCACGATCTCGCTCGGCAACATCAGCAGCATGGAATCACGTACGGGAAGCTGCAAAGTTTGTACATGGATCATCACGCCTTCTGCTGGGGCAATTCCCGATTTTCGTCAGGGGCTTTTGCACTTTTTGGCCCAGGACAATTCACCAATCTCTATCCCTCTTTGTCTCTACCAGCAGCTGATGGCAAGTTCCATATCGTAGGGGAGGCATCCAGTGTCCATCATGGGTGGGTGGTTGGCTCGTTGAACAGTGCATATGTGGCGGTCTATCGATTTTTGCTTCGATATGGACAACAACAAGCCATCCAGAAGCTGGAAAAGAACTGGGGAACTGTGCATGAGTTGGACTTTGCGGGAGTTGCTCGCCTTGATGCGTCGGTTTGATAATTCCATCCATTTCATGGGTTAGCAGAGCAAAATCTGCTGTCAACTCGGGTGAACGACACCTTGAGGCCGGATTCTCAATTCTTGCTGTGACCTGTGGGCGAGTACAAAAGGTCAGTACATAGTAGTCAGATAGTTAAGTACGAAAAGATGTATGTACTTAAGATAGCGCCTGCCGTGAGTCATTAACTAAAGCCAAAATGGGGAATAAAGATTTGTCGCACCTAGAATTGGTGGAGATGTAAACCGTCTATTTACACCCGTTGTTGTGGATGGTGGTGCCTCAGACGGACAGGGCTTCTCTCTTTCCCTCTCTCAAAGTCACATCACTTAGTCCATAGCTTTCCCTTGCCCCTGTTTCGCCGGTACTAACAGTGTAACACAGCACCTCCAGACTCCCAGATTCCATCCGGCGATTGGTTTCCTTGTTCCTTCTTCTAAGACCGGATGTTTTTGTGTCTCATATCTCAACTTCAAACATAACTGCAATGCCAACTCCACTACCCATGACAATACCTATAAGCGATTGGAAGCCGATATATTTTGCAACACTGAAAGGAATCACCCGCAGATCATCATTCGTAGATTGAATCATCGGAGTAAAATACCATGTCGAGGTGACCCCAAGCCATAGCATAACCCATACCATCCCAGCAGCACGCTTCCAAAGTGACACGATGTCCGATGATTGTTTTGCCTCCTCTTGACTGACGTCAAGTGTTTGTACCTGTTTCCAAATATTTTGCACTCCATCTTCGAGCATTATCCCGACGACAAATGCTAAATAAAATGGCATCGAGCCGGACCTTTCCATCGGAATGCTCTGCAGTATATCCACTATGACATGAAATATCGCAGAGACGAGAAAGACGATGAAAAGATTGGTGTATCGCTCGAGTATTGAAGATCTGGTAAGATTCAAAACATCTCGTGTGATGAAGTTACTAATAGAAGTAAAGGGCTGGCGCATGAATTGATGCCAGAATTTCCTGCAAAATGCGTCAACATAAGTATGTACCCTGGTAAACAAATATGGCTTACCCCCAAAATTTGCGCAATGTAAACACGTCCGCCATACTCCCAAAGGCTGGTGGCCAGTCTGCAGGAGAATCTAGCCCGATCCCGACAAAGAATATTGATAATACTCGATACGCAAGATCGCTGATTAGACGGTTTACCACAAACCAAATAGAAAGATGCGTAGCTATTCGCTCTACCCATTGCCCCATAGGCACAATCCATTCGACTTGCAACGACGCGGGTTCATGCATATCACGTTCCCTCGCCTTCTGAAGCGAAACCGTTTGAACTAGGTCCAGCACCAAGCACTGCCATACGACGATTGCCAACTGTCGCAGCAAAAATCGACCCCGTGTTGGGACCTGCATACCCCGCCGCATGTAATACTTTGGATGAGAAGGCACATTCTTGACCTGCCATTGTGTATTGACAGCGCGGGTTTGAGCAAGCAAACGAAATGGTGCGATCAATCTAGATCCAAAGTTTTGAACGCTCTTTGCGCTCCGCGAGATGTCTGCGTTGGCCAGAGGGTTGAGTAACAACAGATTTGTTGCCTGCAAAGTCGCAATGACAAGCTGTGTTATAGCCTGGCACCATGTGGGACTGCCAGATGAGCCAAAGGGACGGATGAACCTGCTCGCGATCCATATCATCCCAGGAATGCACAGATAGCGCAGGGGAGAGCTTTTCCGCGTGGTGATAATGAGAGCGGCAGGGACCACATTCTGAACCAGGTAGAAGAAGAAGAATTCTAATATATTTGCGCCTGTCGAGTGATACAGCCCATACATCACTGCGTCCAGTGTGAGAGGTGAGAGTCAATGAGGTCTGGATTTACGCTCATCACAATTTGAGTTGGACCCACATCCGACCCGAAGTCAATTTATTGGCCAGTTTGTTAGATCTGGATTGGTTTCTCTAGGGTTTGACATGCAAAGCTTTGAGCAATTTTTAGAATCATTGATTTCCCAAGATTTGAATGAGCTTAACTCAACCTTAAGACTGGAGTCCCAGACCATGGACTACTGGTGATTAAAACCATGGAAATAAAAGTTGCACAAAGCGGCTTAAAATTACCTAGGTACCCGCCGGGCCGTTTGGAACCCACCGCATCCAAGAATGTGATCAAGATATATAAATGTCCTTATTGGATTTCCTTATGAAAGCTCATTCCCTAATTGTACACTAGTCCTGAACTGATATTGAATGCAGGCAACTTCGTATCCTACCTAGCCTTAATCGACTCCGTAGTGAGAAACAGTGGAATCAGGGGGATACGCTGCTGGTAACATACTCCGAGGTGCTGTCGCCGGCACTTATCCACATATCCAAAGGTGTACTCCGCACTCGGTACTCTCATGGAATTTACCTATGTACTTGCATATGTACTTAACACATTCTAGTTATGGTATTATGCAGCGTGGAAGCAAGGGACACGTACATGCGGGGACTCTCGTCAACTGAAAACCAATAGGAGAACGTTAGAAATTCAGCACAGTCATATCCATAAATCTTGATTTACTTTTCGTACAAGCAGGATGGGGCGCACAGATTACCAAGTTGGGTTGACAGATGTCATTGTTTGTGTTATAACATTCTTTATCTCCTCCGCCATTCTCGTTTCTTAGTACTCACCCGCCTCGATGTTCACCCTTATCTCTAGTAGTATTTTGCTGGGAGCCCTCATCCTCTATGTCGCCAAAATGTTGCTGAGCCGCCAGAGGCTTGCTGGCCCGCTGCCACCAGGTCCAAGGCCGACGCCAGTGCTTGGCAACATATCTGATCTACCGCCGCCGGGGACACAAGATTGGATGCATTGGCTTCAACACAAAGATGCTTACGGTATGCTTTTACAAGGATTCTTGTTTTATTATTTTCCAAAACACACACTGACGCAATGAATTCGAATTCCCAGGGCCGGTCAGCTCTATCACTGTGCTAGGACAAACAATCGTAATATTGAATGATGCAAAACCAGCCATGGAACTTCTAGCAAAGCGCTCTTCAAAATACTCCTCAAGGCCAAACCTAGTATTTGCGTCCGAAATGTAAGTACACTTGATTGTTCAGATCTGGACATAGAGTTGACGCATTGATAACTAATGCAGGGTGGGATGGGAGAATTTTTTGGCAATGCAAAAGTACTCCGCTCGATTTCGCTCCTATCGCAAGGCAATGCAACCATATATAGGATCTGAGTCGGCTGTCGCCCAGTTTAATCCTCTACAAGAAGTAGAAACAAACCGCTTTCTATTTCGCGTCCTCGAAGATCCGACGAAGCTCATAGAACACATTCGAACGTGAGCCCATATCCCAATTATCTTCTTTAATGCAAAGACCTTGAATCTTATGTTTTCACAGAGAGGCTGGTGCGATCATTCTCAAAATTGCATACGGGTTTACTATTGAGCCACACAAGCGGGATCCGTTGGTGCATATTGCAAATCTGGCCCTCGATCATTTTTCTAAGGCCAGTACACCGGGTACCTGGCTGGTTGATATTATTCCACCTCGTATGTCGTGATATTTGCCTTGTACTAATTGGTGAGGTGGTATTAACAAAAAACAGTAAAACACGTCCCGTCCTGGCTTCCTGGAGCAAATTTCAAGCGCACTGCTCAAGCATGGAAGAAGGATCTCATGATTTTGGCGGAAAAGCCCTATGCATTCGCACGTCGGCAAACGGAAGAAGGTCGGTATCAGCCTTCTTACCTTTCTAACTTCTTCAAAACAACGGGGTGCCCTCCACCTGGCTCAGAAGAAGAGTTTGTTGCCAAGTGGTCAGCTGCGTCACTTTATTCAGGTGGCGCTGATACCGTGAGATGTTTGACGCCTTCTTTTCTACCCTTTAACTAAATTTCTCTAGACTGTGTGCGCTATGGAATGTCTTTTCCTTGCAATGACACTATATCCCGAGGTTCAAGGTAAAGCACAAAATGAAATCGACCAGGTTTTGGGACCTTGCCAGCTTCCAACTGTCGCCGATCGCTCACATTTGCCGTATATTGATGCTGTGGTGAAGGAGGTTCTGCGGTGGCATCCGGTGGGACCTATGGGTCTTCCCCATGCGACAACTGAAGATGATACCTGGGGAGAATATTTCATCCCAAAGGGTTCATATCTTATGCCTAATATCTGGTGAGTCTAAGGCCCCATTTAATGCCCTGACTCTCAAATCTATAAACATGTACTGACATCTACTAAAGGGGTATGATGCATGACCCTGCTGTCTACCACGATCCCATGGTATTCAAACCAGAGCGCTTTCTGGGGATTGATGGACGTGAGCCCGAGTTCGATCCTCATGATCTTGCCTTTGGGTTTGGGCGTCGCATCTGTCCCGCGCGTATCTTGGCAGATAACACATTGTATCTGAGTGCAGCACAATCGCTTGCTGTCTTTAATATAAGGAAAGCCGTCGAAGATGGGAAGGAAGTTGAGGTCGAACCAAAATTCCAGCCTGGGGTCATCAGTCATCCAGAACCATGGAGGTTCCACATCGAACCTCGCAGTACGGCTCATGAATCTCTCATTCGTTCAGTGGAGCAGAAACATCCATGGGAGGCGAGCAATGCACCGGACCTAGAGGACATTTAATCTGTATTATTCTGGAAATGCGCATTCCTGCTTGATACGTTCCCGATCGTTTTCTCGAGTATTCTTGGGTGTTGGATGTAGAAGAGTGAAGTAGTGGATTTGTCTCGGAGGGGAATAACGCAGTCACCGTTGCTTACACTAGCCTTTTATTTTGGAAAGGTCCATTTAAACTCTTTGAAGGATCGTGTCCACCGTCACTAGGAGACTCGTGTATAGTACATTTAAGGAACACTAAACCATTCTAGTTCCAAAGGTTCCATAACACTCTAATCCTTCAATAGATACCTAGATACCTAGGTACTCAGTAAGTAATAAACAGCAGCCATGTAACGTACAGGCCAAGAATACCACTATTAAACCGCGCTCAAAAGTCTTGGAAGCTGAAAAATACCCCCAAACAAAGCAAGATTACCTGACAAGTGCAAACCAAGCCTGGCCAATGGGATAATAACCCAGTAAGGGGCAACCTTGAATAGTGGATCAACATGTGATTAGTAGCTGAAATTCAAATACTACAATACGTCCAGCTCTTCGGTCTTCGGGTTAATTCAGTTTCCTTTTTGTTCTTTTCCTTTTCAAGTTTGAACCCCATTTCATCCCTGAATATCAGGCATCTCAACATTCATTCAATGATGCAAAAAGGTAGACATAATCAAGTGTCGGAATATCAATGTTTAGATGATCTCCGGGTCCCTGAGGATCAGCCGCTTCTCGGGTCCCCCTTCACCCGCTCGGACACCCACTCTCAGGGACTCGCCATCATAATTTGCACGGCCTCGGTGTTATTTATTGCCAGTGCAGTTAATGGCCTAGTCACCCTCAATATCACACAATTCTCATCCGAATTTGGATTAGACCCTGGAGTTGAATTATGGTGAGACACATCTCCAGTACCCAAACCAGTTTTGTGTCTGGTTACACAGAAAACGCCAAGCTCACAACTCGACAGGCCAATGTCAATGTACTATCTTGCTCAAGGCTGCACATTCCTGCTGGCAGGCTCTTTAGCAGATGTGCTAGGCAGCAGGAGAACATTTCTATACGGATGCTTTCTACAGACTGTTTGCCATCTGGCTAGCGGACTGGCCCGGGCCGGCGCGCAGCTTATTGCTGTCAGATTTATATCTGGCATAGCTTACCCAATGTGTTTCATTTCTGCAATGAGCATTCACGGTGAGAATTTTCCAATTGGGAAGTTACGCAATTTGGCATTTTCCTGTACGAGTGCAAGTCAATATATTGGCTCTTGGGTAGGCATCGTGCTTAGTGGGGTACTCTCGGAGACTACTGGCTGGCGATGGGGTTTTCATTGCGCTGCAATTTTAAGCCTGCTTGGGTTTCTCCTATCAATCTGGATGATTCCCGAACAACCCTACGAACCAAAATATATCCCATGGACAGAGCTCACTGAAGATATCGAGTGGTCTGGAACTCTGCTCGCTAGTTCATTGGCGGCGCTCCTATTCTCTGCATTGGCGTACGCATCCCCACCCTAATGACGGTTTATATTCTCAGAATACTGATCAAATAAAAACTAGTGTCATCACAAACAATGTGGCAAACATTGGCAGATCGGGCCTCTTCGTTCCTCTTGCTCTTGGTTGGATCCTCCTCGTCGCCTTCCTCTTCTGGCACGATTGTTGGGAAAGAGACGGCACACAACGCATTCAGAATTCTCTTTGGACAAACTGCCATTTCCTTTCCATGTGTCTGATTGTTTTCTTGGTCTACGCATCTTCTCACTCTACGTCACAGCTTATGATCCTCGTATTCCAACGAGCACAAGGGCTTTCGGTTCTACAATCTTCTTGGCGATATCTAACAATCCCTATCGCCGGCGCGCTGAGCAGTCTGCTCACTGGACATTTCTTGTCTCGCGTTGAAGCCAATAATATCCTCATCATTGCAATAGTGCTTTCTAGTCTATCTCCACTTCTGATGGCTACATTGAGCCTAGCTTGGCCTTACTGGAAATGTGCAATGCCTGCGGTTTCATTAAACTCGGTAGCGTCAAATTCAGTTATCCCAATCGCCACAATGATGGTCGCTGGGTATTTTCCTGCAGAAACCCAGGGGCTTGCAATGGGAGTGCTATGCACTGTGGCAATGGTTGGAGCCTCTGTAGGCATGGCACTGACTACGCTTATTTCAAACGATGTCAGCACAAAGCTACTCCAAACGCCCAACCAAGATAATTCTTTGCACAACTCCCCAGAGATATGGATGAGCGGCTATCGGGCTGCATTCTTGTTCTTGTTCTCACTGAACTTGGTCGGCTTGGCCGTCACTTTTGGCTCCTTGCGAAAACTTGGATACTTAGGTCGAAAATTAGATATAGGCCATTAATTTGTTCATTTTGTCTTATTTATCCGAGTTCCATGTTCGCATTACTATAGGCGAAATTATTTCGTATTGATTAAAGGATGTCTAATGGTACACAAACAAAGTCTCTAAGGCTTAAGGATCCGATCCGGGTCGTTTACTAGAGCCCTAGAGATTATCCACGAATATGACAGCCGGCTACTACCTTCCCCATTGAATCAATACGAAAGCACTCAACCCATCAATAACCCCTTTTGTGCATTCTATAAGTACCGAGTAACCATACATCGGCTAGTTTTCATAGAATGCGACAACGCAATATCATAAGGTTGGGATGCGTGTTCAGATACTTAAAATAAAACTGACCACCAGAAACAACCTATTTGATTTGGCCCATGCGAAAACTTGGCCAAAACAAAAATAAGAGAATGATACCTCCAAAACAGCCCATCCTTTTCCTTACGAGCCCCGAGCATGGACAGTCCAACGTCACACTTGCAGTGGCCGAAGAGTTCCTACACCGCGGCGAGTTCGAAGTCCACATCGCCTCGTTCAAGGAGTTATCAGCTCGTGTGCAAGCGATAAATGACAAAGCAGAGTATGACCAAGTACTTCACTTTCATCCAATTGCAGGTCCGTCCCTGTCTGAGATCGTGCCCCGTACAACACCGGATATATGTCATCGGCCAGGGCTTGCCGGAACGCATGATGCATGTAACATAATCAACATCTCTGTGCTGGGATGGACACCTGACGAGTACATACTGTCATGCCGAAGTTGTCTCGAGATTTTGAAAAACGTCCGTCCGGTCGTCGTGGTAGCAGATCCGCTGCTGCATCTAGGACTAGATGCCGCTCGCAGTGTTGACTCGCGAATTGTGATACTTTGGCCTGTGCCACTGAAAGATGTGGTGGTGACTGTTCAACCGAAAGCTGGCATTTTTTGGAAATACCCCCTGTAAGCAACTCATATCTCTCTGGCAGAGTTCGAATATCTCGCTAACTTGAACACTCAGCACCGGATCAGGATATCCATATCCCCTACCATGGAGACTGATCCTTGCAAATATATACATGGTATTTTGCTTCGGATGGATTGTTCGTTTGGGGAAACCCATGCGCGATCTTCTGGACATTCGCAAGAAAGCAGGAATCCGGACTACATTTCCCCATGTGGCGCCTTACTGCAAAAACCATCTACACCTCTCACCTTCATTCCGAGAGATGGATTTTCCATTGTACGTGCCAGATAATGTCATCAGCTGCGGTCCGATCGTCCGGTCATTTTCGTCGCTTATAGAAATCGATCCAGCACTGGATTCGTGGCTGAAGGAGCCAACAATTCTGATATGTCTCGGATCACATGTTCAAGCTCCAGAGAATGATGCAATACAGATGGCAGTCGCAATACAGGCTGTTATGCGTGAATTTCCTAATATGAAGGTCTTGTGGAAACTCAAATATGAATGGGAAAACTCCCCGACGGTCAAGAATATTCTCGGGCCTCTCGTTAAAACCGATAAAGTGAGGATTTTCCCATGGATCCAGCCAGAGATCATATCTATTCTGGAAGGGGGTAATATAGTTGCATATGTCCACCATGGAGGAGCCAACTCATTTTTCGAGGCGTGCAAGTAAGTTTCCTTGGGGTCACATGGGATCACACAATGATGGAAGAAAAGGTGCTAATACATCTTCCTAGGGCTGGTGTTCCGCAGGTCATTCTGCCCCAGTGGTTCGACACATACGACTGCCCGGCCCGAGTAGAGTGGTTAGGTATTGGCTTACACGGAAGCCGCAATTCGGCACCGAAAATAACCGGATCAGAACTGTCTTTAGCCCTATTGCGAGTGCTAAAGGATAAAGGGATTCAGACGCGGGTTAGGGCCATTGGAGATTTGTGCAAGACGACCGAAGGACGCGTAGTTGCTCATGATCAGATCGTACAGTATGCCCGGAAAGATTTGTGAGATTTTGTAATGTATTCATTGGTTCATGGGCTTCATGGCTCCAGCGGTCCTTTTCTCGGGGGCTGGGGGTGTATAAAAAAGACCGAGTCAACAGCAATCCATTAAGTTATTTTGGCGCAAACTAGTCGACCGAATCAAACGCACCCATTCATATAATCGAAAATGAGGGAAGGGAAAAAGCCCAAAAAAAAAAAAAAGAGAGAACAGTAACCGCGATCCTCAACGCCCGCAAAAAAAAAAAAAAAAAAAGGACCCAATGACTGTGGTTAGACGGTCGACAGCTCTCTCAGAACTCGCCGGACATCATGCCGAGCTTGACTCAACTCCTCATCAACTGTTCCATTGGCATGTCTCGCCTTCACCTCATAGTGTAGTTCAACCAGTTCCTTTGCACGACGAAGATCGGCCTTGTCGCCTGTCGGGCTCTTATCTGCCAGTGCGCTACCGGACTGGGTTGAATCTGAACCTGTGATATTTTTGTGCACATTCACCAGTGCTAGGGCCTCGTTGTGGCCCTGTGCCATGTTGTCAGCATTGCCATATTGTCTAGTGGGGTATTGTCTCTTGTCCAAGACGCGGCTTAGACACGTTTATTGTAGTGGGGCAGCCTTCTGGAAGAAGGAAATGTGATACTTACGCAGACGCGGAGGGAATTGATGTCTGAGAGGATCTCTGCAACTTGCATGTTGATGGGTCTAGTGGTGTTTG